CGTTGCCATGTTCCCACCAATAACGTAGCTCCATTTTCTGCCTTTAAAAGCACACACAACCCACAATTCCTCTATTCGCTCCGACGAAGGGCTAACGCTCGAAACGTCAGCTTTTGTAATCGTTACGGTGGCCAATTTACCATTTCAACTTTGTTGATATATCCAAATTGTTTTGAACACTGGCATTCGGAAAATGTGGGCCAATTGAAATGAAAGTCCAAGACTCCAGGTTATCTCTTACTTGACACTTCCGGCAACATGTGTGCAGTGCATCACTGCATTGGGAGGATTTCTTCAAGCGGCAATCATTTGGCTGACAGCAGGGATCCCGTAATTTGCATTCCTGTACAATAAGACAAGATTGGGAAAATTATGATGCTATCACAGCGCTATTTTTTTACCCCGCGTTCCAATCGGCCCGATATAATCATGATGAAGGTATCTGATATGTTCCTGTTCTGATCTATTTTCTTAAACTAGCGTTGATCTCGAAAGGCGAAAGAAATTCATCATTTGATCTTGCACCCCTTCCCACCCAAGATCTCATTTCTAATTCTCTATAATGTCTACCATGCGATCCTTGTGATTCTCATCACTTGTCTGTTTGATATTGTAAGGAGAAATTCTATCTTGGTCACTCACGAGGTAAAAATTGTTATTGGTTTCATTCCAAATCAAGTTCTGTTGGGGCTACACACGTTTTTTTAACGTTTACCTCTGGTGTACCACAGTCACATTGCTCTCCAGGCTCTGGAATACCATTTCCGCAAGTAGAGTTTACTATCTGCAAAAGAAAAGACACAATTTGGCTATAACATAGTCACGTCATCGATGTTCAGTTCAATTTTTGTTCGTCGCTTTGCCTACGTTCCACGATTAGGATGCTTAATCCAAAACGTAACACTTACTGATCTTGAATGATGACATCTTGACAAGCGACAAAACAACAACAACAAAAACAAAGTAGCGACATTCTCACAAGGAAAATAGATTTACATACGAGAACCTTTTGCGGAAGATTATAAAGGCAGCTGTCGTCCATCTTTGTCATGTTTAGCAAGTTACAGTCGGAGAAACCTGGAACTCGAGTCCTGCGCAATGAGATAACGAAAGAAAACTAGAAAATTATCTGAGAGGAAAAAGGATGAAATCAGGCAGATTGGAAGAAAGTGAATATGTTATCAAATTAAATGAACAGTCGTTATGACTTACTTGAAGGAACCCATAACGCATCCACGGGGTGAAAGACACTTGCAAGACCAAACTTAAATAATGGAAAAGAAAATGCTTATTGTAAATCTATCATCTGAGGGAACTGCAAAATCCATGTTCAGACACTGCTGCTTGACTAACAAACCGGTCATT